CGAACAATAGGACAGGAAATGAAGCTGGTCGCCCGCAAGTCCGGGAAGAAAGGGGCGTGGTTGGTGTTGGTCCGTTTCAGTTTATATACACTAACAAGTTTGACGTGCTTAACTCAGATGAATCTGAGGAAGTCGGTGAAAGCTCGCAGAATAATAAAGCACAGCAGAAGAAATTCCGGCAAAGAAAAATATGTACGGGAAACAACGTAAAAATGGGCGTAACCAGTACGAGTACAACTTTGCTGGTCGTCGCATCGGTACAGAAAAACCGAAAGTCGTTAATCAGACTTTAGCTGATCTGAAGTCTGATGCCATCATTGAGGTTGATGGACAAGAAGTAAAAATGGTTCACAGCGGAAGTGTGAACAATACCGATAAACGAAAAGGCGCAACAGTGGAATGCCGCCGCATGGAAATTTTCCCGAATAAATCGATTACTGTACATCCAAAAAGTTACGTGGAAATAACAACGCGAATTAAAGGCGCAAATAACGTGCAGTATAAACGCGCTGAGTTGTGTGGAAAGCCGTTATTCTACGATGGTAGTCTGCATACAGATAATGCGCAGATGTTCATCGAAGATGGCGTACTTGATGTGTCGAACAAAGGCATGTACAGTACGTATAATGAACATGTCGAATGAGCGCGTGAAATGGATAGGGATACTTCCTTGGCAGTGTAGAAATGGTGGATGAAATTCTGACATCTGCAGACGCTGAATTTGACAGTGCGTACCACGAGTTGTACTGTACTGACAAAGCACAGTGTGAATGCCGTAAGGCTGAAGTTACTACGGCGGAAGTCAGTACTACGCCGGAGACTGAAGAGACAATCAAGAAAATAAAATTGGGTCCATTGGTGAAATTGGAAAACATTGAACGCCTGTACAAAATACTTCGCCAAAACAAGGAAGTATTTCCAACAAAAGAGAGACCGGTCGGTTGCTGCAATATATATGAGCACCCGGTCGATACAGGTACGAGTGCACCTGTAAGACAGCCACCGTATCGTGTGTCCTTCGAGGACGAAATGGCCCGAGAAAAACAAAAGAAATGATGCGTGATGGGATAATTGAGTTAACTAATTCCCCGTGGGGATCGCCCATATGTATTGTGAAGAAAAAAGACGGCAGCCGACGGCTGACAGTAGATTTCCGAAAATTAAACGAAAAACTGCAGGGCAGCAGCTATCCACCGCCGGAATCGATGACATATTAAACGCAGTTGCGAAAGCGAAAGTATTTTCGAAGATCGACTTAAAGTCAGGTTTCTGGCAGATTCAGAGCTGAAGAAGACCGGAAAAAAGCTACAATGGTAGCTGAAGAATTTACGTACCAGTATAAAGTACTTCCATTTGGAATGAAAGATGCAAGCGCATTTCAAAGAGCCATGGACTTGACTTTAGCTGAATTAAAACATAAGAAAGTACTCGTATTTATCGATGACATAATATGTTTTCGGATACCATAGAAGAGCACTTTCGTGACCTGGCAGAACTCCTTGCACGCTTGAAGGAGGCGGCTGACGATCAATCAGACAAATGTGAATTTTCATGGAGAAAATATCCTTTTGGGTCATGTTGTCGATAGTAACGGTATCAGTACTGACCCGGAAAAGCTGGAAGCAGTAAAATCGTTCGGTCCGTTGAAAGACCGCAAGGGAATACAGCGATTTCTTGGTATGGTCGGTTACTACAGACAGTTTATTCCCAAATTTCAGAAATCAGCAGAATTTAAGTGGGGACCGGAACAAGAAAACGCAATGCAGCTGAAAGATGCTTTGTGTTCTGTTCGATATTGCGCGCTTCGATGACCAGGCGCCGATACAGATGGTGATTGATGCTTCGAAAATTGCCGTTGGCGCAGTACTCAAGCAGTTTATTGATGGCCACTGGCGGCCGATTGCGTATTTGTCCAAACTGCTTACGCCGACTCAGAGCAGAATATACTCCCACCGAGTTGGAAGCGTATGGACTCATTTGTGCGCTTAAAATGGCGTCACTTCTTGGCGTATAAAAAAGTTTGAAGTGTACACTGACCACGCCGCATTAACGTTTCTTCGCAACATGCGAGATATGCATGGGCGTATTGGTCGTTGGGCATTGTACGTGCAAGACTATGACATGGTTCCCAAGTACATTAAGGAGCGGCCAATGTCGAAGCAGATGCCTTGTCAAGGCAGACCGGTAACATGCGAGAGCCGGAGTCTAACGAGTCGGATGTTATCCCGACTACCGCGAAGATGACCAGCCGGATGCGGAAACAGTAGCACAGATCGATGCAGTGCGTAAGAGAGAAAACCACAAACAAGTACAGTACATTGACGCGTTCAGGGCTGAAGTCCGTTTATTCAACAAAGCAGAGCGGAAAGAAGTGAAAAATAATACGGAAGTCACGTTCGTACCAGAACAGCGCGCACAGTACTGGGTGGAAGAGCAGTCAAAAGACCGCGTAATTGCACACTGGAAGTCATTACTCAGTGATCCTACGCAGGACATGAAGCCGTACCAGCGCCGGTACTTGAAAAAGTTCATTTTGAAACAAGGCGTTGTGTACTATCGGTACTCTGTGAACGGTAAAGACTTTTACCTATTCTATGTACCGTACCAGTGGAGAATGAAGTTTCTGTTCGAAAATCATGACACACAGTATGCCGCGCATCAAGGCATTGAATCCACGTACAAAAAGATGCACGCATACTTTTACTGGCCGCACATGAAAGAAAGTGTGACGAACTACGTGATGTCCTGTGCACAGTGCCAGGCGCGTAATCCTGTTAACCAGAAAACTGCTGGATTTTTACAGCATAATCCGATTGTAAATCCGCGTAGCTGTTGGTCGATCGACGTTGCTAGCAGTTTACCGTTAACTAAAATGGTAAAACACATCATGATCGGTGTTGACTATGGTTCGAAATGGGTTGTCGCACAAGCGGTAGAAGCGAACGACAGTGCTACGCTAGCACAGTTCGTGTTTGAAAAAATAATTATGCCGTTTGGTGTGCCGAAGAATCTGACGTCGGACAGAGGGTCCAACTTTATGTCAGACATGTTTGGTGAATTGTCCGCCGTCATGGGAATTGCACACGTGCCGGTAGTTGCTTACCACAATATGGGAAACGGGTTAGCAGAGAAACGTGTGGGAGAATTTAAGAAAGCAATATCTAAATACATAAACGATGAGCAAACAGATTGGGATGTGTACTCCCAGCTATCTGTTTCGCCTTTAACACGAAGCCGGTAAAACGTATTGGCGGTTTTACACCTGCGAAACTGATGTATGGTGAAGACTTGCGTTTACCGCAAGATAACTTCATTCCGAAGTATGACGGCGACGAGGACTTTCCGATTCCTGCGCATTTGTTTATTCAGCATTTACAGCTGACATTGTCAGATGCACTGGATCAGGTACGAGCGGAAGAAACGCAGCAGCGTCTGAAAGATAAGATCCGGTACGATGCTAACGCACGAGAAGTTGAATATGCAATTGGCGATCAAGTCATGGTGCGAGCTATGGCGCGTACGAAAGGAAAGCATAAGGCGTTTGAAGGCCTTTGGCGCACCGGATATGAGGTGAAGGCGAAACTGTCGAGTATTCACTACAGAGTACAATGCAACAAAAGGGGAGCAGTGAAACTGGATGTAGTGCACGTATCGCAGATGCGACCGTATAATATGCGAAAACCGGATGAGCCGGAGCTGACTGATATGGAAGATATGAGCGCAAGTCATAAGCCGCTTAAGCCCGTAGAAAAAGAACTCGAAGACGAGATTGAGGAGTTTCCTGTTAGGCCAGAGTTGCCAGAACCGGAAGTCGAGGATGTTCCCGTCGTTCCTGTGAGAACGAGATATGGAAGAAAAGTGAAACAGCCGGACAGGCTAATTAATAAACAGTAATCCCCGAAGTCCCCGTGAACTGTCGTAACCGCCGCGAGACGGCAGGTTAATTCGGTATCTGTATGTTGCAGCACTGTGGGTAAAAACACCGCATTGCAAAAATTCACAGTTGCACATATTTGGATTGATTTTGGGTTCTTCGGTTTTCTTCTCTGTAGAGTGATCTCTCTCTAGGAATCTCAGTTTGTTTTGTAAAGTTGGAATTTTTTGTGATAATGCCACCGTATTTTAATCGTGGACGTGGCCGTGCCCGTGCACACTATCGGAATCAGTTACTGCAGGGCCTGTACAGTACTACGCTGATGGCCGCAGGATTTCAAACGCAGCGAGGTGGCTATGGTCGTCGTCGCGGACGATTTGCTGGTAGAAGCCGCGGTGGTGAAGCTCGAGGACGTGGTAGCGCTAACGCTGGTGAAAATGCCTCTGTTCCCACGGACAACTGGCGACGAGCTGGACGAGATCTTGCTGCTGATCCCGAGAATGGACAGAGTGGCAGTGTTGGTAATGTTGTGCGTGATGGCGATGTTGATATGACTGCTGGTGGAGGAAATGGTTCAGTCCCTGCCCATAATTCAGCCAGCTCTTCTACTGTTCCCACTGGCCAAGTAGGTGCTTCAGCAGTTACGAATGATGCAGATAAGGAGCGCGAACGACAACAGCAGCTTCGTCAGCAGATGGCTGTGGATGCCCGCAAGAATGCTCCGCCGTCAACTGGTACTGAGCAGACTCGCTTCTCATTCTGATCGCGCTGACAGTTTCTGCTGATTTTGCGAATTTTCATTAATTTTTACTGAATCCCTGTTGATCTCCGAGTGGATTTTGCTCAGTTTTCCTTTGTGATTTTCGTGCATTTTGCTGACAATATTCCTCAGTGCGGAAGTGGCGTTTTATTTTTATTCTCCTGTTTATTCGCGGATGTTTTGCTGAATTTTCATCGGCGATTTTACGTTAATTTCAATTGATTTTGCCACTGAAATTCCTCTTTATTTTTCCGACGATTTTCCTGTTTGTGTTTTCTCCGACTGCCGTTTTGCCAACTCACTTTCTCCTGCCAACTCTCACTTCCACCCCGTCAGGATCCTCTCCTCATTCACCATCTCACTCAGTCACCCGTGGAGGAGGATCATGTCATTCTCGGACGGAGGATGGATTTTGCCCGCCTTACCCAGTCGAGAGCGTGAGAACTCATTTTCATTTAGTTTTTTATTCCTGTTTTTCATGTTCCTTTCGTTTCTTTTTGTGTTGGGTTCCCCAAAAGCCGTTTGCGGGGGTGACGGAATATGGTGTACAGTAGCAGCGATGTACGTACTTCTATACATCTGTACTCGTACTTGTCGGCTATATTTTGTACTTTCTCGCAGTTTCTCTTTGTTTTGGGTTATACTTTTGGTTTTCTAACTGGACGCGCTTCGCGCCTATATAAGTCCGAGAGTTACAGGATTTTGGTATCAGTTGGTTGGCATTCGGAGTTTGGCAGTGTGAGAGTTTTCTATTAAAATCTATCGTCGGAATGCAGTCAGATTCTCGCTTCGCGTAGTTCGTAGCTTACACATTTTTCTTGGCTATGCCACATTGAAATTATCAGCTCATTCTCTGTCGTTGAGTCAGGTCGGTAGGATAGATATTACGGTATTATCCCTATCGTACTCGTCTCTCCGTCAGTGATTTACTAGGTTCAGAAGTGGCAGACCTTTGTTAATCATACTGCAATTGATTACAGGATGCCCCGCGGTGCAGCCTCCAGAAGTGGCTGATGGCTTGGACCATTTTTCCGGATTCAAGTTGGATGTGTGGTCGTGTGGTGTGACCTTTTTCAGTTTATGTGCGGGCAACTCGCGATTTCCGTTTGTCGGAGAAACGGTGTACGAATTGTTTGCTAATATTTCTGAGCGTCCCCATGAAATGCCCAAAGAAATTAAAGATGCTGACCCCGAATTTTGTAACTTGATTGACGTAATGCTGGAGAAGAGGGAAGCGAATAGGTACGGCACAGCACATTATGAATGTAATCGGAGTTGTTGTCCGTTGGTTTCTGCGCTACTGAATTGTATTTTTTTGAGAGATTGGTTAACTTAGTATAATACTGGTTTCATTACACTGCTTTTAGGCCGTCACTGGACGCCGTGCGCCACCATCCCTGGGTTCGGCGGCACTGGCCGATGCCACCGGCGGGAATTCCCATACAGGAAACTATTGATAAGGCCGCCGTTCGGTCGGTGGACAGCTTCCTGCCCTACATCAAGTCTTATTATCACTCCAGCGCCCGCACCAGTCGAGCTGGCAGTATTTGTTGTACTACAGGTGGACGCATACAGCATCACCATCACCACTGTAAGTTATTATACGTCTTGGACAATTGTTTTTGTTGCTGAACCTTCAAGTTTTTCTAACAACCTCGCTTGAGGTGTAGAACAGTGGGGTTAGCCATGTAATATTTTCAGGATTTCAGCTATTATGATTAGCACAGTACCAGCAAGATGGTACCAGTATTGTATATGGTGATATAGCGATTTCACTTTTGAGCAACGCGATGGGGCAGCTGAAAGCTGAAGTCGAAATGAATAATAAGGGCATACTACGGTAATTTTATTGATGGTATGGCCTTTTGGGAACTTTTTTCGTGTTGGACTGTTTTTTAAATTAATCAGCTGTTAGCGAGTAGGTTGGAAATTCGTAAGTTGCGATTCGGGTTATTTATTCAGGATCAGGCTAAATTAATGTGTTTTTAATGGATGATCTCGAGGGTACGGATGTGTTTACGTAGCCGCCAGGGTCGACTAGGGTCTGAGGTTTACCAGGCCGAATTTTAATGTCATCAATCTTGACGTGGTAAAATATTGCTTTTGCGGTAGAGAAGCGACCGAATGAAAGCCTCGCTGGAAAAAGAGAACTTTTTGCTTGAATTATTTATTTTCTTTTGGAATGTGAGTACGGCAAGCTTTATTGCCAGAAAGCAGTAAACTTTGTTTAGCTACGAAGGTTGTTAAACATTTCGATAATTTTCCTGTTTTCGGTGTGCTGTGGTGTTGGTGGTGTTCGCGTAGTGTGGTACTGTCGATGTGTGATTATAGTACTTGACAGTACTGCAACAGTAATTTAGGTTTGTGTGTGGTAAGCGGCATTTAAAACAGTGTCATAAATTACAAAGTCTCAGACTCTCAGTGTAAGTGTTGCTTACAAGCCTGTAAGTGTAATTTGCAGATCTTGGTGTATCGGCGCGCTACAATTTAGGTCAACAGGCATAATTCTTCCTGAGAGCGCATGGTTTACAGTAGACTTGCTGCTGATTAGCCTTGATTTTCCAGCAGCGACCCGATTTACGTCGCCGTTTATTATCCAGGGTCACATTCACATACGCCTACGATCGATTTGTTGATAATCCCTCATTTTCTGTCGGTGTTTTTCACAGATCCCCGCTGTCATTCGCATCATCTGGTACCGCACAACAGCACCTGGAAATCGTGTCGACCCAACCATGATCGACGTCGAACGTCCATTGAGTCGCGACTTTAACGCACAATAACAGTATCCGGAGTATTCATAAACATAGAGATGCTACTAATCGTCGTGCCACTATCGATGAAACCGCTACTGGAGAGCATTCAGTAGGCGCGGCCACATTGGACCGGTCTGAGTGCTGAGCAAGGTTGTTTTGCTGTCAAAAAGTGGAAGCTGTGTAGAGTTACATGAATTATGTATTAGATAGACAGTTTGAGAGTTCGCTTGCAGCTATTATGGGTATGGTTTTTTGGACACTTGGTCTTTGTTTGTTGACATGTTGATTTGTACAGCATTATTCCGGTACGTTTTTTGTTTCTTTGTTCAGCCTGTGTTTATGCTATAGTGCGCCTTTTTTCTCGTTTAAATCCCGTCGGCTTTCAAAGTTTCAGTCTTCTGTTTGATACGGTCCCGTTCTGTTTTGTGTTGGAATTCGCTTCTTGGCGAGCTTTTTTGTTGATTCGACGAAACGAGTTCCTGATTAATTGATTAAAACCACATGTGACTTGAACTGGCCAAGACTATCAAAACGTTCTCTAATAATATAAATTAATTCTAAAACCAATCAACAAAATTCTGCCAAATCATGATCACAAGAGGTGGCAACGTATCCAAAAATCTCATAAATTCAAACAGAGATAACATTCAAAAAGAAAAATGAGAAAAACAGTGCTACAGCAAAACGTGGAAATCAGCACCACAAAAATTAAACATGTTGAACGGAAGAGACCGTCGATTCTGCACGTGAATTCTGTCTCGAAAACGCCGATTTCGGTGGTGGAATATTCAACATCACGTTCCACTGTTCAAGAGTTGGCCAACCAATCATCGCCAGATCATCTTCGTTATATGCTTCCATCAACAGCTTGTGCATTCTTTCCAGATTTCTCCATATATTTGTTCTCACCGGTTTATACAAAACATACTGTGTATCCACGCTGATCAAGTATAACAAAAACTGATCCAGCATAGCGGGCAACTCCACCTTCACATTCCTGTAGACCAACGCCACGATTTCTTTAACTTCCGTTGCAGTCGAAAACGACTGATTCCGCAGTTTTACCGAGCTACTGGGCTTCTCCATACTCAGTACCACATCGGCTTTATCCAGAAATTCGGGCAGCGGTCCCAAGACTTTCTGCGTGACGTAATCAACTAGACGCAAACAGATGTTTCGTAGCTGCACATCCACTTCTTTCCGACAGTCTATCACGCTAGTACGAATATCGGGGGCACTGCTCAGGAAAAAGTCCAACAATGCATTACGACTGCTTAGCGAAAAAATGGAAGATTTACGCTGGACAATGCCTTTAGCAGCGCCCATAACTCGACTGAAGTCTAGCGAATCCTCTTCCGTGCTCAAATCCATTTGAAATAAAGTTAGGTGTTCCCGCAACACAAGGATATGAGAAATCAAAAACAAATCACAATGTAGACGGCCCTTCGCCTTAAAAGTTCCTCCGCGGCTTTGTGCAAGGATTCCAGAGTACGAAAAATCACCTCTTGAGCCACTATCTGCAAATGCGAATGTAAGGATTAGGGCATACTGGGAATTTAGAGGGCTCTGAAAATTTTAAGGAGTGCTCATGATCTAACAACGCACAATAAAACACCAAGGCAAAGCCCGCACACGACACGAGGCACGGCTTATATTATACGATTTGGAAGTTTGCCATTTAACCGAAGTTTTAAAGCCCAAATTAGTAACGCATTGACAGGAATCGTTCAGCAAAAGTGAGCAAAACGTATCGCAGTAGCTCTTCAGAGGTGCTACTAACGAAAAACAGAACCGCATAACGCTCTTAATATACATCAGTCAACACTGCCAGAAAGCCCATCTTACCTTGAAAGATTGTGCATCCAAACTCTGATATAGTTTGGTCAAGCCAACTGCTCTCCTTAAAGTCGGATACCAGAACCCTTGTGATTCAACAGAAAACAAATATCGTTCTCTTCGACAACCCGCGAACTCATCGATGACACAGACATACGACTGGAGATTCGATGCCGCGACTCCTCTTTGGATGTTTCCAACAGCTGATGCAAAATTTCCAGTTTTTCCGGGTAAGCAAAATCGCCCTTATTCGGTTTGAATCCGACAATTTCGGCCAAGACAAAGTTAGATACCCTAAACATGAGCCGCTCTCTGCAATCGGCCAGTAGTACCCGAACAAACTCGACAAACGGAGCCATTTCTTGACTAGCGTTGGCGCTGTGCTCACGAAGCACTTCCTGATTGAGAAAGCAGCACACATCCGATATCTTCTCCACCAGATCCATATGTATAATCTCTGGACGGATTCCATCATAAAATATCTGACATATCTGCGATAAATATTCTGTCAGCATGGGGGCGGGTTGTGTGAAATACTGATAATACAACCGAAACTCTTCTCGGCATACTCGAGCCAGAAAGCTGCAAGCAGCCCGCAGGAGTTCGGTAATATTCTGTTTGGAATTGCGACGAAAATCCACTACCGATGTCTGCACAAAGGATCGAGAAGTTTCGTTCGCGATGCAAAATATAATCTGTGACAATCCTGCACCAGATCATTATAAATAGCTGGAAACTGTACGCCACGATCATCGATATTTTTCAAAAGTAGACGTATACTCCCGGAATGCTGCTGGAAAACAGAGTAGAGCACCGAGAAGGTGTTATGGACACTTTCACCGGCGGCGACGGCCTGCATCACTTCAGCGACGGCACGTTGGAAACTGCGGTCCACTTCATTGCGAATTAACGCCGCAGCTTTGGACAATAACTGCGAATATCTGGAAAAAATCTTTAAATTATTTTTGTTTATAATCTAATAAAATAAAAAGTAATGAAAAAATAATAAAAAATACTACGTAGTTTACTTTGATAATAACTGGTAAGTGTTGTATTTTTGGTAAAGCACTTCTGGTGCCAATCGCAGATCGACACTAAACTGCTCTTGTAAAACTGGTATAAACTGCAAACAGCCAAATACCTAGTTCTATACAACGGTGCTTCTTTAAAATCCGGATTCGCGGTAACATAATCCATGTTATGCTGCAACTTATCCAGCCACTCTAAAACGCTTCGTTTCCCACGTTAACAGCCGGGGCGTTCAGCTGCACAGCCAGTCGGTCGTAATCCAGCAGCGGTTCCATTCTGGCATGCAATGCATCGGCTTTGGACACGAGCTGGTTCTGCGCCGACACCAAATCCTCACAATCGCCGTACAGCGCATCCGTTTTGTCCTGGACGGTTTTCAACGTGCCCATCAAAGATTCCAATTCTTTCTGTGCATCACCCAGATGGGATTGAATCGTCTTCCCATTGCAGGAGATGATCGAGGCGAGCACGCTCAGTTCGCAACTGCGGAGAAAGCTGGTCGAGAATGACGGATGCTGATTTTTCATCGGGCACGTTGCTCCTAGATTGTGGAGTGTCTTGTTCACCATCGGATGAGTTACTGGAGCAAACGCTTTCTCCACAAGAAAAGCAAGATCTTGATAAAGCTCTTGTTGACGCTCCGTAAGATCAGCGACGCCGGGCTCGTATTCCCACAATAATAATCGCGAATCATTGCTCATTGCAGAAAATTCGTTGAGTCCAATAAATAAATCCGAATATTCTGACACGGCAGTGCCAGCGCTTATAAAATCACAAAACAAAGAATTTATACAAACTGAGAGCCACGGTTTACATGTTGGCAGTGTCGCACCTGTGACAAGTGACTTACTTGCCTTCCTAATATAAAAACGCAACAAACAATCGAATTAAACGTATTCAAATCAAGATTCTTCCATTCACACTGACGATAGAAATAGTAAATAGTTTGATGATACTTTGATCACACCACGATCAAACCATTTTTGCAATGTCCAGAGCTCCAGATTTTAAGCTAGAAGCAAATCAATCCAGCAAAAGAACGAAGAATACGAAGTAAATAAAGTGTACAGAATTTACAAAGTAAAATAATAACCACAAAAAATTATCTTAAACAATAAACACCTAAAAAGTTAAAAACGCAAAGCAAAAAGTGGAATGAAGTTTTGTACGAGCAGTGTTTCCACGTGGCCTTACCTACCTACTATAGAGTTTGCTCGGAGTTGGTAGCGGAACCTCAGCACTCCACGAGAAATAAAGGTTAGCCACGCTACGCCTCTTGCGGAAAATTTCGGCATTTCAAAAGTTTTGTCATGGTGCTCAAATTTGTAATTTCCATTGAAAATAAAAAATGGTTCTGTTTTTGAAACGGTTTAGCATGCCTGTTCTTATTGCATTGTGAAGTTTTCCACATGAAGTATTCTTGGTTGTACAGATTCCTGTCATCGGTTTTCTTAAAATACTTTGGATACAGAACTTTGAAAGCTTTCGTATTTTGCGAACTACCTTCAGTCTGTAATCATGTCGAAGAAGCTTTTGGATTCTTCGGACGAAGATGAGAAGCCAGATTTTTCCTTCAGGGTTAATACGGATTACGCTAGCAAGTATGACGACTGGCGAGCGAAAGAAGAGATGCAAAAGCGTAAGAGTGTGATTCTTCGATCGTCCTGTTTCTGTTAACTGGTCTGGGTTGTCAGTTTTCCGTGCGGTGTTGCGCAAGTCGTTGCGACTCTGGAGTGTTCGGTTTATTGTTTCAGTTAAGGATAAGTATGGGGATGAACCGATGCCGGAATCTTCTTCCTCAGAGAGTGAAGATGAGGACGCGGAAGTGAGTTCCATCTCTTTGCCTTTTGTCTCACAATCGTGATAATCCGTAGTGTAGTACTACTGAGTATCGTGAAGTAACACTGTATTGTAAATTTTGTTTGACTGACTACGTACTGAGTATTTTTAATTTCTTTCTTTCTGTGTATAACATTAGTTTGCATACTAGGCACTTACTCCGGCTATCGAGCGGGATTTTTTCAAGACTTTGGCTGTATTGAAAAGCAAAGATCCAGGAGTGTACGACAAAACTCGCAAGTTTTTCGCTGACGGACCGGAAGCGCCCGGTGCCTCCGCGGGAAAGTCTGGCAAGTCGAAACCCATGTTTTTGAAAGATTATGAAAGGAAAATAATCACGGAGGCTGACGGAATCATCGATGAATTCAAAAATCACATGCCGCCGAAGTTTCAGTCGCAGTATGATTTGGTATGTTCAGTTTTAAAAACAGTTTCGTGGTACATAGTGTTGATCTATAGTCTCCTG